ACCCACTTCTTCGGATGCATCCGAAGAAGTGGGTTGTAGCCCACGAAAGCTTATGCTCTAATAAATTTGTTAGTCTCTAAGGTGCCACAAGTACTCCTGTTCTTTTTCCAGGTTTTTCAGATATTTTCTGTAGGTCACCCACGTCTCACAGCCATAGAGGAGAGTTGGGATTACCACTGCTTTACAAACTAAAAGTTTAGTATGTGTTCTGATGATGTGATTGTTGAACACTCAGTGAGACAGTCTGCCAAAGGCAAGGCTGGCACAGCGAATTCTGTGCTGAATCTTGACATCTTTCTGCCTTCTGTGATAGGCAAAGTATTCTACATTTTCCAGTTCTTCTTTGCTGATATAGATCTTCCTTGCTGGGTCTGATGATTGACCGGGGACTGTCTGGTGGAGAACTTTTGTTTTGCCGATATTCAGAGTTAGCCCTAGGCTTCTGTAAGCCTCAGAGAAGCAATTAAGGACTGTTTGAAGATCCTTCTTTGAGTGTGCAACTACAGCACAATCATCTGCATACTGGAATTTGGTTATTGTTGCCGATATTACTTTAGTTCTGGCACGGAGACGAGAAAGGTTGAAGAGGTTGCCATCGATCTGATATTGGATGCCAGTGCCCTGTGGTAGACTGTCTTGGGTTAGTGTTCTCATAGCTGCTAAGAAAATGGAGAAAAGGGAGGGTGCCAATACACAATCTTGTTTTACGCCAGTTCGGATGAAAAAGGGCTCAGAGGTCGATCCGCTGCACAAGATGCAGGCAGCCATCTGGTCATGGAGGAGTCTCATAAATGGTGATAAATTTGCTTGGGCAGCTAAACTTTGACATGATTTTCCACAGAGCCTGATGGTTGACAGAGCTGAAGGCTTTTGTCCGATTGATAACGGCTGTTATACAGCTCCTGGTGGTGTTCTTGACCTTTTTCCTGGATCTGCCTAGCTGCGAAATCATGTTGGTTGTGCCTCGTGATAGTCTGAAGCCGTACTGGGACTCTGGAATACTTGCGCTGCAAGAGGGAGCAGGCGATTCAGAAAGATTCCACCAAGAATCTTCGCAGTGCTGGACAGGAGGGCAATGCCTTGATAGTTGCCACAGTCGGCTCTGTCTCCCTTTTTGAAAATGGTGACGATGTTAGCCTTACGTAAGTCGGCAGGAATTTCTTCAGAGCGCCAGATTTTGAGGAGCAGCAAGTGAAGCTTGTTGGGCAGTGTTTCTCCTCCCACTTTCAGTACTTCAGCTGGTATGCCATCAGGACCTGGTGCTTTATTGTTAGTTTGTTTAATTGCTTCGCAGACCTCCTCAGGTGTTGGTGGGTTGGCAAGAGTTTTCCAGTTTGGATGCTGAGGGATGGAGTCGATGGTGTCGTCAGTCACAGTCGATTCTCTATTTAGAAGCTTTTGGTAGTGTTCCTTCCAGCGCTCTTTGGTGGATTCATTATCTTTAAGAAGGGTAGTACCATCTTTGGCTCTCAGAGGTGTGAGGCCACATGAGTTTGGTCCGTACGTGGTCTTTGTCTCTCAAAAAAAGCTCCGCATATCATGTCTGTCAGCGAATGTTTGGATTTTTTTTGCTTTGTCCTCCCACCATTTGTTTTTGATTTCTCGGATCCTCCTTTGAACTTCAGCTATGAGCTGATGGAAAAAGCTCTGCTTCTGACTGGATAGTGGTTGGTTTTGCCAGTCACAGAAAATCTTTTCTCTTCTGATCCAAAAGGGCTGTAGTCTCAATGTTGTTTTTGCTACCCGCTGCCATCAGGACTGGTTTGACAAGGCCAATGGATTCCTTGCAAACCTCATGGATGGTCTGTTTTAGGGCTTCCCAGTCTTCTTCGACACTTGTTTGTCATTTCCAGGTGTGCATATCGCCAGTTTGTCACTGAGGAGTGTTTGGAAGTTCTCTTCGTGCACTGAGGATTGAAGTCTTTGGATGCTGTATTGCCGTCCGTGTGATTTGTATTGCTTTCTATGTTTTGGTGCAATCCTGATGGACATGACTGACCTCACCTGGTGGTGGTCAGTCCAGCAATCATCTGCTCTTCTCATGACACGGGTGATTTGGACATCTCCTAGATCCTGTGTTCTTACAATGACATAGTCTAGGAGGTGCCACTGTTTTAAGCAGGGGTGTTGCCAAATTGTTTTGTACTTGTTGCTTTGTCTGAAGATTGTGTTTGTGATCACATGGTCGTGCTCTGCACATTTGCTGAGTAGAAGGATGCCATTGGAGTTGGTCTTGCCCACTCCTTCCTTCCCAGTGGTGCTATTCAATACGTTAGAATCTCGGCCAACTCCTGCATTAAAGTCCACTAAAAGGATTATCTTACCTCTTTTTGGAATGGATGATAAAATTTTATCAAGGTCAGTGTAGAAGGATTCCTTCTGTTCTTCAGTGTCAGGAGTTGGTGCATATACATTGATGATCATGGCAAATGACTTATTGACCATTTGGATGCGGAGGGTCATAAGGCGCTTGTTGATGCTAACGGGGAGCTCAATCAGGCGGTTGACTAGAAGGTTTTTGATTGCAAAGCCAACACCGTGTATTGGCCTGTCGCTTGATGGTTTTCCTTTCCAGAAGACAATGTAACCGCCGCCCTCTTCCCTCAAGTGGCCTTCATCTATACATCGTGTTTCGCTGAGAGCAGTGATGTCGATGTTGTACCTTGAGAATTCTTGGGCAACAATTGCTGTTCTGCGTTTGGGTCTTTCACTTTTTGATTAGTCTAGTGGGGTAAGGACGTTCCAAGTTGCAAGAAACATTTTTGTTTTTCAACCGCATTGGGAATGATCCCTCTGGACACATTTATCCAGTCAGGTATGGTGGGATAGCCTATATTTGGGGCACCTTTTCTAGCTCCTTCCTTGTATGGCGTGAGCAGAGGGGTTCCTAAAAGGGCCTGCTCAGTCATGACTGCTGTTGCTGAAAATGCCCCCCCATCCCAGTCCAGGGACACATGCCTGGGCTGCCACCTTGATGTGATAGAGAAGCTTGTGTATACTTAAGACCCTAAGAGCGATGCTGCCTGGAGTCCTGTATTCCTGGTAGGGTCACCCATGACGGTAAGGTTGAAGGCGAGGTACTAGACAAAGTGCAGCACAACCTAGTATAAGACATAATGGCAGAACAGGCAGATGAAGCAGGATCACCTCTCAACAGCTGCGAAGGTGGATGAAGGCTGCAATGGAGGAGAAACCCCCGGTCATCTTGGACCTCCTTGCCACCGGACACATGTGCCTCTTCTGCTAAGATTTGTGTGGCTGCTGGTGTGCATCAGCTCCCCCACATTATTCATGCACAGGCTTCTTTCACAGGAAGAACTGTTTCTCCACCCCTACCCATAAAAGTCCTGCGGCATTGGGCAAGTGGCAATGGGGATAGGTGAAGTGATCACCAGGAGTCCCTAGACACACACCCACACGCAGGCGGTGACGGCAAGATGGTTTACCTATGAAAATCATGACTATCAGTACAGAACCTTGCCCTTTGCCCTATCATTGCATCCAGGTATTTATGATATTCTTGTTAGTAATGATTGCCAGGCTGAGGAATCTGTAAACACCTATACATATTTGGAAGTGATACTGTTTTTAGAGTATCATCTTAGGATATCTTGTAGGTGGTGACCTAAAGGCCTTTTCCATTCTTCAGAAACATCAGTTAGGATCACATTTCCAGGTTCATTATGGTAAGGAACAATAGCAAAATAAAATACAAACTTCACCAAATATTGGCTCTCCTAAAATATTTGATATGATGATTTCATACAAGGATCTTGGATGTACATGGAAAAATCAACCTACCTTTTCCACACCACTAAAATTGATCATTTTTTATAAATATCAAAACACATCCAGGCTAGCATGTGCTAACAATAGTAGGAAAGTAGTGTCACATCGATGAGGCTCGTAAGGATTCTGAAGTTAACAGGACAAAACAGAATACAAGAAATACATGATGTAGAACAGTGCTTAGATTAGACATCCTCAAACTGGTTGGAGGAGTGTTGTACTCGAGACTGTAAATTACTAGAAGCACATAGATACTCAGTCTTGAATTGAAATGACCCAGTGCTGTACCTGAAAGCTGTGAGTCTGTCTGTATATTTGAACAACTACATACACATTGGGGTAATCCTGCACCAAATGCCCATGTGGATACCTTTGTGTAAAACTTTACACCAACTATTTTTGGATATATTGGTATTCACTAAGCATCTGTGTTCCTATTTTCCTGTGCATTTTAAATGTTTCCCTAGTTCAGATTAAGGATGATTGGTCCCAAATCTACCAACATTTTATACCCTCTTTGCCAGTTTCTTAAACTTGAATACAGTTACTCCTCTCCTCATTGCCTCACCCACAGCTGTCAATCTCATTTTCAAATCCCATTCATCCAAGAGCCAGATAGGGTAATGGAGATACAGCAGTATTTTTTTGTTCAGCCCATAATTCTACAATGACTCTCTTAAATTCACCAACACTATATGTTTGCCCCAGAAAGGTTATAGATAAATGATTCTGATAAAAGGTGGTTTTATAGGCCCCCCGAAAAGATTTTGTGTACATATTGTGCAACTAACAATCATTTTAATTTATATTAAAAATAAATACGTTTACAGTGCTTTCCTTCTCTTGCTTCTTATCTTCATTCCAGTTTTTTCTCTAGTATGTAATGTCTTTTCATTGTTAATCCAATCTCTCCTCTCCTTCCACACACTTTTCACTGTATGTTCATTTTTGCGCTTATTTTCCATATCCCCCACTTAACCTCTACTTCTCATCTTTGCCTTCCTCCCAGTTTCTTCCTCATCCTTTTCCCTTGTTCGTTCCTTCACTGCTCCTTGCTCTTCCCCATGAATCTCCATTTCTCTTGGTCTCTAAATGCATTGCTCCCATTGATCTATCCAAGCTTCACTTCTCAAATGCTGCTGGAGACTCTTGGGACTAGATGTTTGTTTCCTGTGATGGCTCCAGATAAAAGTTACAAGCCATATGTGTTTCTAGTGTCCTCAGATTGGACTGCATGTTCATTTATATGCTTGTTTTCTTTGCAGTGAGACCAAATTTTGAGGAAGGTGGGACAACAACAACAGGGAGGAAACACGAGTTTATTCGCTCTGAGAGCGAGAACTGGCGCATCTTCAGGGAGGAGCAAAATGGGGAAGATGATGATGGAGGCTGGAGACTGGCTGGGTCACGGAGGGATGGTGAGAGGTGGCGTCCTCATAGTCCAGGTGAGAGGAGATCTGGAAAGGGAGAAGAGCAAAGTAGTTGAAGGAAAAGGGCAGTGAGTGAACAGGGACTGGAGGGCAAAAGGTTTATGGAAAAAGTAGGTAGAGAGGTTCATGCTATTTTGTTCACTAAACAAAATTTAAGTTTGTGCTATGAACTTTTAAACAGACAGCCACATCATAAGTTCCAAAGTGTGTATTTAAAAAAAATTACACACGCGCGTATGTCCTCCAGCCATTGAGCTTTATTTAAGAAGGAAACATGATTTATTCTTTGAGTATGTGTCATTGTGGATCCCACTGTAGGTGTATATGCACTTCATACACGCGAGATCAGAATCTTTTGAATAGCGTTGTCTGGGGTCACGCATACAGCCTATGCCTCCTTTTGCTCCCATGTGAGGGCATAAAGGTTGGATCAGCCTTGACTCTCCCTCAGTTCCCTCCTACTGCCTGAGGCAACGAGATGGAACCGGGTATGAGTCAGACCGGGTACGCTTCCTTGAGCTTCAAACTTAATTCCACATTAGTTGTGTTTTGTTACGCTTCCTTCTTCACTTCCTTGTTTGTTTTCTATTGATTTTAATGTTCTTGGAAAATAAAGGGGGGGGAGACAGCAAGACTTCCTGTATACTCCATTGCACAGCAGGGCAAGGCGCTTTGCCCCAACCACCACAGCAGACTCCAAGCCTTCAGGATTTAAGCTCTCTCTAACCTGAGAGGGACTGATCCGTTCATTGATGGTCATAATCAATGCCTTTCCTGTTTGCGGGAAGAGTTGCATCCATAAGTATGTGATGTGTAAATCATTCATGTTGAGGACTTGTAAGTCAAGGAAAGCATGTCTCAAACTTCACTCGCTGGGGCAATCAATGTGTGTTACCTCAGATGCGAAGGAGCTTCCAACTCTGGGGTACGCAGGAGGCATCATCCTGAGTGCCCATTGAAGCAGACATTACATTCCAGGTGGGGAGAAGAATGTAGGAAAGAAAACATCCTTATGACACCACTGCCATCGATACAGTTGACTCCGGCAATCACTTGGCGCCAAAGCTGATGCCAGCACCCGAATGTATGGGTGAAACTGAAAGAGAAGGCTAAGCTGAGACCAGACATGGCTCAAAAATAGGTAAGAAGAAATACCACTTCTCTAAGGATAAGAACAAATCCTTCACCAAAGAGCAGTGCCGAGAGGACAGACATTGCCGACATCGGTGTTTGCAAAAGCACTGGCACTGACAGAATTCAGAACCAAGATACCCCCACATGAAATCTGAGGGATCCCCCTCAGGGACAACATCAGCAAGAACACAGCACTAGGCACTGAAACCAGAGCAGAGACCTCATCCCTCAGTACTGCCATTTGAGGAATGCCGTTACTAGTTAGCATCTCCGATCTGTGCGTTCTCTCTGGCTTTGAGCAGAGAGGCCTCCCCGCTACCATTCACAAGTTACTTCAGAATTGGCCCAGGAAAACCTCACCACAGGGCACTGACCTTGCACAGGCATGAATGGCAACTGGTTGACCAGGACATGACCCATTCAGCATGCCACCGTGGCCATACTGGCCCTATTGCCAATAGACTCTTTTTTGTCACTGTGGACAACCCAAAATGCCAGAACTTTTGCTTTAGGGGAGGTCTGAATTCAGGATCACTACTCAATACCTTCCTTCTGCAGTGGAACAGGGGCTTGCTGTAGGCCTTCCCACTGATTCCCTTGATTCCCAGGGTGACTGCCAAAATCAAGAGACAAAGCCGCAGTCATTCTGGTGGTTCTGTACAGACAAAAGCAGATCTGGCTCACAAAGCTACTGTAGTTGTTCATCCAACTCCCAGGCCACAGAATCACAGCCATATATTCCGTCGAGACCTGAAATCACTGCACTTGGCTTTGTGGCTGTTCACTGTCTAAGCACCAAGGACAGACTGCTCCCTATAGTTTCAAAAGTCCTATTTCAAAACAGGAAAACATCTATCAGAAGGACAAATTATTTCAAGTTGAAGAGGTTCTCGATATGGGCAGTCCAAAATGATCTACACCCAGCCCAAGCCTTTATACTTAAGATCATTGACTACCCAAAATATCTCAAGCAGGCAGGTCTCTCGCTCAGTTCTATCAAAGTCCACCTCGCAGCAACTGCAGCTTGTCACCTGCCTCTTAAGTCATGTGGGGACTTCTCTCACCTCATTGTAGTGAAGTTGCTGAAAGAGTTGCTGCATACATATCCAG